CAACCAGATCCCTCATTCTGTACCTCACTGGGTCCACGCAGTCACTTGCCCCAGGACCTTTGTACTGGCAGCTCCATCTTGCCTAAGGTGCTCCCTCCCATAGCCCTCCCAGACTGCACCTGTCTGGTGAAGTCAAATCCCTTGCTTAAAGGTGGGATTGTGTCTCAATGGTGTTTATGCAGCACCTGTGAGTTCCAGGCCCTGGGTTCTGTTTCCCAGCCTGTGCACACATGCACACACACAGACAGGCACACACACACACTCAGCCTCTGGGAAGCTGGGCTCACTCCCGTTGTTGCTTGCTGCTCTGCATTCTCCACAGCTGGTGCAGCTGCGACCCAGAATGTACTATGTATGCGGTGTCTCTGCTCATTTGCATAGACCCAGGACCACAATGCACCTGTTCGCCCCAGCCTCCCCAAGGCAGTTGGCAGGGGGACCGACACAGGAAAACAGGAATTGGATTTCGTCCCCAGGACCCATTAGAAGTGGATCATGGGTCCAAGTCCAAGGTTGTGTGTGTTGGGGTCATTTGTGGTGGCCACTAGGCACGGGGCCTCCAGTTCTACCACGCAAGCCCCAACCCTGGTCCTTTTGCTTTTAGTGTGATTTCCAGGTAGGGTCTCATTAACTTTTCCTGGGCTGGCTTTGAACCACAATCCTCCTTGCCTCAGCCTCCTCGAGTAGCTGGGATGACAGGTATGTACTACCATGCCTGGCCTGGCTTGTGACCAGCAGTTTAAAACCAAACAAAGAGTCCAATGGTTGAATTCAAACTCCAATCCCACCAAAGTAACTGAGAAGAAAAAAAGAAATGGAAGGGGAGGAAAATATCAGGGTAGAGCGCCCGGGAGAGTCAACACGGGTCCAGGTAACGCAGGTGTTCAATGCGGGCCCACTCAGGCTCTGTTTCCTCTGAGAGGCTGCAGCGTGGGAAAGCCCACACCAGCTCGCTTGTGAGAACCAGGTGATCCTCCCACACCCAGCCTCCGCCGAGTGATCCTCCCATGCCTGGCCTCCACCTGGCGATCCTCACACACTCCCAGCCTCCCTCTGCCTGGTGACTCTCACATGTGGAGGAACTTCTGAGCACGCACCACCTTCAGCTTCATATTCCCGATATGCAAATATCACATGACAGCCACAGTGCAAGCTGGTGATAGAGCGCCGAGCCTGGCAGTTCCCGGGGATCTGTTTCCACAACCCCATCTGACCCGCAGGCCTCACTTAGCCCAGGCTCCCCTGCTTCCAGTCACCCCAGGCCCGATCTCCAGGCCTGCTCTGGCCCCAGCTCCCCAGGGCCGCTCAGGGTTTGGATGGGGACACAACAGAATGAGCCACCCACGGCCGCCGTCAGTGACGCCTTCCCTGAGCCCAGCTCCGGGCCCTCACGTGACAAAGTCCTGAGCCCACCTCTGGACCCTCACGTGACAATGTCCTACCATGCGTGGCTGTGCTGGCATCTCTGCCACATTCCCAGCACCTAGGAGGTGCTCGCAGCACACAGCAAGTATGCGCTGGCGCGTAGTAGGCGCTCACCGGCACACAGTAGGTGTTCATCTGCACATATTGAGATGGTGGGATCCAGGGTGGGGGACGGGGGTGGGGGGGTTGCTGGTCCGCTCTCTGCCTGGTCTGGGATGAACAGGGCTCTCCACAATGACTGTGATTACCTCTGCAGTCTGAGGGAGAGAATGGAGGATCATAACCGGTTGTAACCAGAAATGCTGGGGTTCCCACCCGCCACAAGGCAGCTGAGCTCCCCATCCTCCCCGGCTCCTCCCCTGCTCCTCCTCCCCGGCTGCTGGGCGCTGGGCTCCAGGCTGGGCGCAGCCCTGGTGTCACCTTCTGCCATCTAGGAGGCCCTGGGACCCCGCCTTTCCCCACAGCCCCGTTCCGTCCTCACCCGCCCTCGGGGGTCTCCCCCAAACGCCTCGCCTTGCCCCCTTCCTGCGGTGCTGTCCATGCTCCTGCCTCACCAGACCCTCACCCTTCTGCACCCACTTCCTGTGTGTGGCCCCATCGGCGCTGCTGCGTGATGACACCCCAGCCCGACCTTGACTGACCTCCTGGTCTTGGTCTGGGGGGGGGGAGGCAGACAGCAGACAGCAGCATGATGTTCAGGGTGTGAGCCCCCAGAGCCCAGAGTCCCCAGTTCCTTCTGGGGCAAGGCAGGAAGACGGCCACCCCACCGACGCCCCACTGATGCCCCAGAGATGCCCGGCTGTCCTGGGTGGCCACCGGGGATAGTCGCCTGGCAGGTGAAAAAGTTCTAAATGGGTGCAGTGGCTCACGCCTGTAATCCCAGACACGCCGGAGGCTGAGATCTGAGGATCACTGTTCAAAACCAGTCTGGGTGGGAAAGACTATGAGACTCTCAGCCCCAATTAAGCACCACAAAGCCAGAAGTGTTGTGGCTCAAGTGGTAGAGCACCAGCCTCAAGTGAAAAAGCCTAAGGAACAGCACCCAGCCCTAACTTCAAGTCCTAATACCAGTGCACACACATGCGCGTACGCACACACACATACACACACAGAGGCAGACACACTGCACACGCATGCGTGCACAGAGGCAGACACATGCACATGGACACGTGTGTGCACACACAGAGGCAGGCGCACACATACACATGCACGCATATATACATACGTGTGCATGCACAGCCTCCCTGGGCTACAAAGCAGCTACAAAGGAGCTCTTGTGCCCTCTGCTGCTCACTTCTTGAAACTGCAGTTCATCTGCCAGGCTCTGGAGGGCCCTGGGGGGCGGGAGGCAGGGTGTGAGGAATGAGAAGGTGGGCGGTGCTGGGTGGGGACCTCCTCATCAGAAAGTGGGTGACTAGGGAATATAATGGACATCCCTGCCCTTCCAGCCCCCAGTCCTCAAATGCTTTGTGGAAAGCGTCCCCCCCCCATAAAACTGTACCCTCTACCTGCTGTCCTTCCTCCCCAAGCCAACACCCATCTCCCAGGCACCTCCTTTTGGACCCTTCATGAGTCTGCTCAGCCCTCAGGGGGGGTCGGCTCCCCCATGAAAGTCACCCTGGCGGGCTTTGGCCCCAGGGCCTCCCTCCCCAGGGCCTCCCTCCCCAGGCCTCCCTCCCCCCGCTGGTCTTGTGCTGGCCGTGGTTTCTGGGACCAAGCAAGGCAAAGGACGCACCCCCAACCAACTAGAAAAACAGTGGCTCATAGAGCTAGTGCCACTGTGGACAAGGAAAAGTGGTGAAAAGATCCTGGTAAAGAGGCCCCCATATGGGGGGTCACCGATGACCCCCAAGAAAACAGGGCCAGCTAGGAAAAGCAGAGGCTTCCACACTGAGTGAGCGGCAGGTAGAGATACTGCAGGGGGGGCCAAGGAGTCCTGGCCGATTCGGGGTTCTCCCTAGAGGGGTGGGGTCCTACTAGAGGAATGGAGTCTGCTGGAGGAGGGAGGTTCTTACTGCCTCCCTCTGGGAAGAAAAGGTCCCAAACTAGAGGTCAGGAGGCCAGATAGCAGAAGAGAGGACGGTTCATGGACTTTCCTAGGCTGGCTTCAAACCACGATCCTCAGATCTCAGCTAGGATGACAGGTGTGAGCCACTGGTGACAGGTAGGAGCAAGTCTTCTTGCCTGGGGATGGGAGGGGTGACCTGGGTGGCCTGAGCTCTCGGGGATTAGTAGGTGTAGCAGATTGAAACTGTCCCTCCAACTGAACTCCCAACGGAGGCAGAAAAGCTGGGATGAGAGCAAGCTTCGTGTCTGCTCACGGCTGGACACCGGTGAAGTCCAGTCCTGTCCTGCGAGGCCTTCCTGGTGAGAACTCCCGCTGGGCCACAGGGGGCAGAGGGGATTCAGCAGAAGGCCATGGTCTCAGGGTCCAGCGCCAAATCCTCCCACGCCAGGCATGACAGCTGATAACAGACAGCCCCAGAGGAACAATCGGGCTCCTAGCTCAGTAGCCACGGCGCCCGGATACCACAGCGGGGACGCAGGATGGCATCCTACCCACACCTGGAAGAACTTAGCCACATCACGGTGCCAGGGCCAGAAAGAGACAGCAATCAAGGAAAAACGCTCAGCTTCCACGGGCGGGATCCATCTTCGCCAGGAAAAGTGGGACGTGGTCCTGGGACACAGGTAATTCAATTTTCTGCACGCTCAGAAGGCACGAGAGAGCCAGACACTGGGAGAAACTGCAGACACTGTTCATGGCCAAGAGCAAGGGAATGCATTCCCCAGCTTGGCTTCATGTGCAACGCCTGGGAAATTAAAAGGGAAAAACTGCACAATTTATCCTGATACCTACGTGTATGTGTGTGTGTGTGTGAGAGAGAGAGAGAGAGAGAGAGTGAGAAAAAAGAGAGAGAGAGAGAGAGAAAATATTGGAGCTTGAGCTCAGGGCCTTGTGCTCTAATTTGGCCTTTTTGCCCAAAGCTAATTGGTGCTCTACCACTTCTGGCTTTTTGCTTGTTCGTGGGAGATAAGAATCTCACAGACTTAGCCGGGCGCGCTGGTGGCTCACGCCTGTAATCCTAGCTACTCAGGAGGCTGAGATCTGAGGATTGCGGTTCAAAGCCAGCCCGGGCAGGAGAGACTGTGAGACTCCTATCTCCAATAAACCACCAGAAAACCGGAAGTGGCACTGTAGCTCAAGTGGTAGAGCGCTCGCCTTGAGCTGAAGAGCTGAGGGACAGCGCCCAGGCCCAGAGTTCAAGCCCCACGGCCGACCAAAAAAAAAAACCAAAAAACAAAAAAGAATCTCACAGACTTGCCTTCCTGGACTGGCTTCAAACTGGGATCTTCAGATCTCCTGAGTAAGCTGGGATTAAAGGCCCTGGCTTCATTGTTTTTTTTTAATTGGCTTCATTTCTCATGGCAGACAAAGGAATAAAATGAACATACCCAAATAGAGTTAGTTCTACTAAGTAGGATGTAGGCGGTTCTTACCTTAATGTTTTAGAATTTTCAGTGTTTCCTAAAGTAAAAAATAAGACGTAGTTTAAAGATTTTGTTTTCCTGAGTTCATCTCTTTATTACAAAAATAAGAGAATTCCCAAGGATGTCAGAGAATTCACAGGAACGTGTGACAGTACAGAGATCTAAATGAGGGTGGGGGGTAATGTCCTTTCCCATCCCTTTTTGGGGACCTCTTTATCTTCTCTGCCAGTCACTGAACGCTGCAATGAGAATTTGGGAGTCTGCAGCCAACAGGCAAAACGTTGTTGAGACAACTCTGCCCCCTGGTGGCCAGATGGCAACGTGCAGGTCCGAGCTAGCCAAGCTCTTGAGATACAAATAACACTAAACACGTGGAATTGGGGCGTGAAATGTCCCGAAGTTGCCCCCGATGATTGTCGTAGCACCATTCACCGCGTGGTCAAGACCTGGGTTGCGTTGTTTAACTTCATGTCAGGCGTTGACCTGTCAGTTGGGCCAATCATCCATTCGGGAATCTGCTCTGTGCGAGGATCCAAGAGCGGCACAAAGCCAGCAGTTCCACTGCAGAATCCCACAGGGGGCGCAGGTGTGACACCGCACACGCGTGTGAGCTCTCTGTCCCGGAGGCCCTGGCGCCCCAACACCGGGGCTAAATGCTGGCCAAAGGACGGCTCTGGTGCTCACACCAAAACCCCACCTCCCCCGGGCCACGCACCAGAAGGTATTTGAGCTGGGAAGGAAAATGAACAAATATGGAAACTGAGTCTGTCGTGGGTCAGGGCAGGTGCTGGGCGGCCTGGGGGTGGGGAGGATGGGAAATCCTATTCGTTTCTGGGGAGAAAGGTGCGGTGGACCCCTTATTCTTTATTTTTGGCAGTACTGGAGTTTGTCACAAGCACTCTACCACTTGAGGCACACCCCCCCAGACCTTGTGTCCCCCCCCCCCCTGCATAGAGTCCTGTGTTTTTGCCCAGGTAAGCCTCAAATCTTACCTCCACCTCCTATGCAGCTGAGCTTACAGGTATGACCGCCATGCTCAGCTTGTTGGAGATAAGGTCTCCCTAACTTTTTCTTTTCTTTCATTCCTTCATTACTTCCTCCCTTTCTTTTCTTTTTTGTGACTATCCTCAACTGGAAGGCTCTATCTCTGCCCCCTGAGTAACTGGAATTACAGGCATGCACTGACACACTCAGCCCTGGACCCTCTCATTCAATGGCTGCACAGCCCTCCAGGTGTTGAAATTGGTTTCCCGTCCAGTCCAGTATCTCAATGAATCTCGCCAGCAGCCCTCTGAGGGTTCTGTTGTTCGCGTTCTGTGGATGACGAAACCGAGGCTTGGCCGGGCAGAGTTGCTTGCAGAGTAGCTGAGTCAGGCCTGGGCAGGGCCTCCAGGCCAGGTCTCGGCCCTGCTCTTTGCCTCCTGCTGCCCCTCCTGGCTCAGCTGGGCCCCGGGAGCCTCTCCTCCTCTGTCAACGACCCAGATGACAGTGGGTCTGAGGCTGGAGGTGCCAGTTCCCAGCCCCGGTTCTGGGTCTCGGTCTCAAGCTCAGGTCGGTGCCTGTACTGCCCCGCCTCCTCCTCCAGGAAGCACATCCACCCTGCACCTCCCGCCCCGCCCCTGCCGGAGGCCTGCAGGTTTGCCTCTGACCTAGAACAATCAGGCACAAAGTTAGGGGTGACTCCAGGAACCCCTTCCTCCCAGGCTCAGTGCTCTAGAGACAATCCACGGTGCCGTGAAGACACAATGTACGCACTGTGGGGGAAACTGAGGCACAGGGAGAGATCCTCGGGCTCTCCCCAGAAAATTAAAAGCCCTCCTGTGGGGCCAGGGAGCTTCCAACCCACCACCTGCACCTTGGGCTCTGGGCGTCACAAGCAGGAAGTGGGAGATCTGAAGACATCAACCTTCCAGAACCTTCCAGGCAGGGCAGACTCACTCAGGAGCCTCGGAGAACTCCACACGGCGGTACCGGATGCTGGCAGAGCTCTGCCCGTGGCCAGAGCCCAGGGGGAACCTGCCGGAGAGGAGAGGGATGGGAGGGCGGTGAGTCTGGGGCTTCCCCGGGGAGGGGTCACGGATGTCCACTCTTCAAAACACCTGCCTGGTTTCTACCCCAGGGCCTTTGCACATGCTGTTCCTCCGCCCAGAACTCTCTCCCAGTTCTGAAATGGGAAGCTTTCTTGCCCTCACTCAGTTGCTCAGGGAGGATATTCCACAGTCAGCCATGTTTACTGCTGACAGTGCTGGGGCTTGGTGCTGGTCAAGGTCCCAGAAATAGACCCATGAAGGCAACAGACAGCCCCAAATGTCACCCCACTCAGGGAGAATTTCTGACACACCTGGACATGAACACACATGTCCCAAATCCACCTGCACCCCAGTAAATGTGACCATACCCCCAACTCCACTGTTCTCTCTGGAGGTCCACCACCCTGAAATGTCTGCTCTGAATCAACCTTATACTCGCCTGCCCTAGGTATGAGCTATGGCCTGCCTCAGGGCCTTTGCATTTGCTGTCCCTCCTCCCTCGCCGCCTCTCCCCTCATCCTCGGGCAGCCTCCTTCTCACTAATTGAACGTCTGCCTCCTCAGGTTCTTCCTCTCCGCCCACCCCTGCCTCTTCTGTCCCCAAATTCTGTCCCCAGCAAGATACACCAGGGCCCACTGTCTTCTAATTACTTATCGCCAGCTGAACCATGCTGAAGTGTTGATTTGGGGCGTTCTCCCCTACTTAAATACAAGCTCCTCAAGGAGGATCGGGCAGAGAGGGCGAAGAGGCCAGGGAGCTGGCCGGCCCCCGACCCCAGGTCAGGTGACCCCCCCCCCTCCCCGTTCTCTTCCTACCGAAGGTTCTGGAGCTGTTGCTCTATCTCTGCCAGCGACTGGCCTTTTGTTTCAGGAACGAAGAAGTAGATGAAGGCCAGGCCGAGGGCAGCGGTCAGCCCGTAGAGCAGGAAGGTCCAGGACACGCCAAGGGCACCTGGGAAAGGCACAAGTAGGGGCCAGGGGCTGGGTCAGCTGGCGTGGCCTGGGTGGAGCGTGGGTTCCGTCACCAGAGCCGGGCAGCACAGCACGCAGCCCCCACACAGCCCGGCCCAGAGCCAGGGCTGAGGCTGCGGAGACCCCCAGCACCGAACTGTTGCTGGGGAAAGCCAGCTCCAGCCAGCTTGGCCTGGGTGTGAGCTGTGGCCCAAGAAGACACAGTCTGTGGCTCAGTCCTGGGCTGGGTGTGTGTGGTGGGGGGGGGTTAGGGGAGGCCCAGGAGAGGAGGACGGGAGGAAGCCGGGAAGAAAGGGGCTCCGTGGAGGAGGAAAGTTACGTCTGGACGCCTTTCTCTCTTCTACCGGCCAGGGTCGCATCTCCAAGCAGTTTCTTGGCCCTGCAGTAGGCCCAACACTGGGCAGAGAGGCGGAAGGACTGGCTCCCATCTCTTGCCCCCCTGGCTGGACTGGGGAAGGCCGCGTTTGCCCTTCTGTGACAATGTGGAGGTGGTAAGGACAGGGCAGGATTCTAAGGTAGAAGGAGCCCTGGGAGTTAGAACAGCCAGTGATTGGCTGGAGGATGGGCGTGTCATCTTGTTGAGCCAATCAGGGTTGGTCCCAGGAAGTGGGCTGGAGCCAATGGGAAAGGTGCTACCGAGGCCAGCTGGCAGCCGGCTCTGCACACTGCAGGGCAGGTCGGTGGAGACTGAAACCCAGGAGATGAAGGGAGGCGGAGCAGGGAGGGCACGCGAGATGGCTGACAGTTGTGTTGGGGCCTTGGGACCAACGCTGATTGAAGCCACCCATCTCCTCTCTACCCTGATTTAACACCAAACATTGCCTTCCGGTCACAAGTTGGGCTGTATCCGATTTCCTGCCCTTAGGATCTAGAAGAGAGCTGAGTGGAGGACTTACCCAGCAGGTGGAGGAAGGAGAGGCTGACAAAGAGGTTGGTGGCCCAGTTGATGCTGTTGCAGAAGGCAAAGGCCCTTCCTCGGATCTCCGCGGGGTAGATCTCGCTGAGAAGCAGCCAGGTCACTAGAGCGGGAGGTCGGAGGGCTCCTGGGCTGGAGCTGGGGCCAGGCACCCTGGGCCAGGCAGGCCGCTCCCTCACCTTCCCCCGCCCCCCCAGCCAAGCAGCTGTCAGTTCAGGGCAAGAATGTCTCTGTTTTTGCCAGTATTAAGTGCTGACAACTAGGATAGTCTTGGACAATATGAGGTGTTGGATTTTCACTCCATTCATTGAATTCCTTTCAAGTAAACTCATGGTTGACTTATGAAGCCTGAAACTTAAAGTCTGGAGCAAAACCTTTTTAAAAAAAAAAAATTACATATAGGCCGGGCACCAGTGGCTCATGCCTGTCATCCTAGCTATTCAGGAGGCTGAGATCTGAGGATCGCAGTTCAAAGCCAGCCGGGGCAGGAAAGTCCATGAGACTCTTATCTCCAATAAACCACCAGAAAACTGGAAGTGGCTCTGTAGCTCAAGTGGTAGAGCGCTCGCCTTGAGCTAAAGAGCTGAGGGACAGCGACCAGGGCCAGAGTTCAAGACCCACAACCGACCAAAAAAAAAAAAGTACTTATGTAGACCAGATAGGGTGGCTTACACCTGTAATCCCAGTACTCGGAGAGCAGAGATCAGAAGGATCACAGTTCAAGGTTAACCCTAACAAAAGGTATCCAGATCTCATTCCAGCCAGTAGCTCTGGAAGTGACGTCACACAAGTCTTATCCCAGCTCTTCCTGGGCAGTAAACAGGAGGACAATGGTCCAGATCATCTTGGGCAAAAATAAGGGTGCTCCAGTCTGAAAAAAATAACCAAAGCCAAAAGGAATGGATCCACTGGGAAAGTGCCTGCCTGGCGAGTACAAGGCTCTGAGTTCGACTCCCAGGGCTGCCAGAACAAAATCCTTAAATGACAACTACAGTTAGGACGTGGCTCTGGAACCAGCCTGGAAGTCACCCGGGGGTGCACCGACAGGGCCTCAGACTGCCCACAAAGTGAAGGAGAAGGTTCCAGATCTACCTGCTGGGAAAACCTCCTTACCTGGCCCAAACCCCAAGGAGAAGGCGCTCACAAAGGCCAGCATGCAGCCCAGCGCGGCCCAGCGCAGCAGGCGGTGCTCCCCAGCAGGACTGGGGGGCTCAGGGGAGGCGGTGGCACCTCTGGCTCCCGGATGGGGCGTGGCCGTCTCCGTGGGTGACCCGATCAGCTGCCCTGGGTCCCCGCTGGCTCCATGATTGGGAGGGAGGGAGGCGCCTCCGGGGAGGGCTGCCTGCTGAGTGGCACTTGGCACGGCCTGGCAGCTGGGGCCCAGGCCCACGGGCACCGCGAAGCTGACCAGGCCTATGCCACTGACCGCCAGGGCCATGAGCGCGCAGCCAGCCAGCAGCAGGACCCGGCGGCCCGCGCGTTCCACCAGGCCCATGGCGGCCAGGGTGGCGGCCACCTTGGCCACGCCGAGCCCCACGGAGGCCAGCACGGCGGAAGAGCCCCCCTGGAAGCCCACAGCTCGGAAGACGGTGGCGGCGTAGCTCAGCACGTTGGGCTGGCCCGTGAGCTGCTGGAAAAGCACCAGCCCCAAGCCCAGCGCTGTCCGGCCACGCAGATTATCCCTGGCTCTGAAGAGATCCGCGAAGGAATACCGGGGCCGTGGCAGGCCCGGCGTGGTGAGCTCAGCGTCACGCAGCAGGACCAGGTCCCCCAGGGCAGTGGAGTCCCCCGTGCCCGCGGGGAGGAAGAGGAGGCTGATGGATTGCAGGCCGGCTGGCGCCAGGGCCCAGCCAAACATGTGTCTCCAGCCCCCGGGAGCCCCCGCCAGGGCGTAGCTGAGGGCGTAGGACAACAAGATGCCCCCGGTGATGCCAGCTTCATACAGGGCCACCAGCACGCCCCGCTGCCGCGGCCCCACCAGCTCCGACATGTAGATGCAGCAGGCCATGGACGACACGGAGATGGCAAAGCCCACCGCCAGTCGGCCCAGGATGAGCCAGGCCAGGGAGCCAGCCAGGCCCAGGCCCAGGCTGCCCGCCAGCAGCACCACGTTGCTCCCGAGGATAGCCCGCTTCCTGCCGCAGCCGTCGATGAGGAAGCCCCCGGCCAGGGAGGCCAGGAAGGCCCCCAGGAGCAGGCTGCCCACCACCACTTCCCGTCCCCAGCAGCTCAGCCCCCACTCCAGCGTGAGGGGCAGCAGGGCGCCCGAGATGACCGCCAGCTCGTACCCGAACGTCAGGCCGCCCAGCAAAGACACGCACACGCACAGCGGCACCACCCGCGTGGGACAGCCTGCAAAACAAACAGGACGCGAGCTCAGCTCAGGAGGGTCTCTGCTGGGGAGCTGTGCACCCCAGCACACTCATCTGCTGCCCAGCCACGTGAGCATGCTGTAGACGGAAGCCGGGCGGCACAAGAGCTGGCTGCTCCCACGTTCCGGGTGAGAAATCATGTCCTCATGAGCAGCTCACGCCGGTCACCTGCTAAAGCTACTCCAGGAGGCGGAGATCTGAGGATCATGGTTCAAGAAAGTCCATGCGACTCTTCTTTCCAATGCATCACCCAAAAGCCACCAGAAGTAGAGTTGTGGTTCAAGTGGTAAAGTGCCAGTCTTGAGCAAAAAAGCTGAGAGCCTGGGGCCCTGAGTTCACAAGTCTCAGTACTGGCACCAAAAGGAGAAAACAAAAAGAAATAAGGTATCTCTTTTTCTCCGCATTTCTGTTTTAGTGAATCCATTAAGGTTTTTGGTGCTTGAACCATTTTCCCTGATCTGAGTGCTGCACATCTAGCTCCTGTCTTCCTCAAGTAGCACCGAGGAACAGTGCCAATGTTCTGCAGTGACACAAACGTGTGCAGCTGTGTTGGTGGCTGGGGCAGGGCCCAGCCCCACAGGGACCCTGAGTACCACAGAGACCACAGAAGGGATGGAGGGTCTCAAGTTCTAGCTTCATTAATCTACTTATGAAGTCAGTCGGCCCCCTGGCCTGGTGGATACCATATTTATTAGCTATGAAATTGTACAGGTGACTTCATTTTAAACTCATGCTTTAAAAAAAAATGTGCCTCACACCTGTAATCCTAGCTACTCAGGAGGCTGAGAGCTGAGGATCGCAGTTGAAAGCCAGCCTGGGCAGAAAAGTCCATGAGACTCTTATCTCCATTGAACCACTAAAAACCCAGAAGTGGTGCTGTGGCTCAAGTGATAGAGTGCTTGCCTTGAGCTGAAGAACTCAGGGACAGCACGCAAGCTGAGAGTTCAAGCCCCACGATGGACAAAAAAAAAAAGAAATTGTGTCACTCCTGGGTCTTGAACTCAAGGCCTGGGTGCTGTTCCTGAGCTTTTTAGCTTAAGACTGGCACTCTACCACTTGAGCCACAAGTCCACCTCTGGCTTTTTTTTTTTGGTGGTTCAATGGAGATAAAGAGCCTGCCCAGGCTGGCTTTGAACCACAATTCTCAGATCTCAGCCTCCTGAGGAGCTAGGATTATGAACTCACACTGAGGAGACACCTCTGTTTCTCATCTAGAGTTGTCCTGCTGTCCTCACTGCCCCTGACTCTTGGAAGGAAGGTTGGTTCTTCCAGGCCACATAGAAACGGTAATGGCTTAGATATATGTCTCCCCCTTCCTCCTCCTCCTGTGCAGTTGGCATGATTTGGGAAGCTTCTGTAAAGTTGAGGGGGTGGGACTCAGCCAGAGGAAGCAGGTAGCAAAGCATGAGCATTTGAAGATGACAGCCTTTTCTACACTGTTTTCTGTCCATCATAAAGATGGCAATTCTGACAGAAGCTCCAAAGACCAACAACCACCAACAGAAACGCGGGCAGGGGAGTCTGGGCACATGACATCTCACAATGAAACACCTGTCCTGCTTGTGTAATGATCACGCAAAGGACTCATCTACACTTTGTCCATGCCCTGAGACTTTGTAGGAGCCTGAGTTGAAGGGTGACAGAGGAATGAATCTGCAGAGGAAATCACAGGGAGCCTGGAGTTCCAGCTGCAGCACGCTTATAGCTGGCTGCACGCAGAGCCAGGGTGACAGGAAGAACCTTTTGCTTTGAAAAGCACGCATGCAGTTTGGTCAGAAAAGCCCTCATGAAGCTGGAGTGAAGGTAGGTCAGGGTTCTTAAAAGATTAAGACCACGAGGGCTGGGAATGTGGCTAAGTGATAGAGTGCTTGCCTAGCATGCGTGAAGCCGTGGGTTCAATTCCTCAGTACCACATACACAGAACAAGCCAGAAGTGGCGCTGTGGCTCAAGTGGTAGAGTGCTAGCCTTGAGCAAAAGCAGCTCAGGGACAGTGCCCAGGCCCTGAGTTCAAGTCCCAGGACTGGAAAAAAAAATTAAGACCATGAAAAAGATCCCAAACTCCTTTGCAGTGGGACAAGAGGAAGGATCCTTGAGAGCCTTTCATGAGTTAGGAGGCCCATCACAGACTCAGGGGCTTAAACACACAAAACTCATTTAACAGACTTTCCCTTGAGAGGCATCCGTGGGCCAGGCTGGCCCAGGATTTGTCTCCTGGTTCTCAGCTCTCTGGGCATTCAGAGGCCATTGCAGGGCTGGCTCAAGAGGGCCATGCTGCAGCCCCTGGAAGACATGGGTGACGCTTGTGTGATGCCAGTTCTGCAAACCTGAAACAAGGAAGAGCAACGTCATGGAGGCTTCCGGTGAGATTTCAAAGGCGGGCCTGCAAGCTCAGGGCCAGGATCCTCCCAGGCAGCTCCACGGGGTGAGGCCTGGGTTGCAGTTGGAGGCCCCAGGAAGTTAGAGGTGTCAGGAACATGACCTACCTGCCAAGGAGAGGCCCAGGCAGCCTGAGAGAGGCCACGTGACCACACCCAGCAGGGTCACAGGGCAGGGCTGCCCCAGCCCCTCAGAGCTCACATCCTGACGCCTCATGTCCCGGATGCTGGACAGGCGCTGTAGGATTGCGGTTAGCTCTGCTGGGCTGCAGGCTTGCTTTGGGCTGCTCCTTCCTCCTTATTCTCTTGTGGTTTCTTTTTGGTATCATAATGTTTATTCTGGGCTATTGTATGCTGATGCCATTTGGGTTGTGCTGTGCCAGTCCAGGGGCTTGAACTCAGGGCCTTAAACTCTTGCTTGATTTTTTTTTTTCTTCTTTTGCTCAAGGCTAGGGCTCTACCACTTGAGCCATAGTTTCACTTCTGGCTTTTTGGTGGTTCCTTGGACAGCAGAATCTCATGGACTTTCCGGCCCTGGCTGGCTTCAAACCATCATCCTCAGATCTCAGCCTCCTGAGTAGCTGGGATTACAGGTGTGAGCTACTAGCAGACTGCCGTTGATTGTTCATTTTCCTGGAAGTGGGGGGGGGGCAGCCTCAGGTTTAATAGGGCCTGAGTCTCAGGAAGTTTGAATTCAGGCTTTTGAACAGGGTTGGAGCTGCGCAGTCCGTAGTGATTCCTGGAGACACACTGTGCATGACGAGACACATTTGAAGCATCATGTTGGTTTGAGGTGGGACCAGAGACTCGGTGGTTAGGGTTTGGATGGTTCTTGACATGCAGCGGGCGGCACTATGTCAGGAAGTTCTGGAAACTTTAAGAGCGTGGGACCTCCCTCCTGTGGGACCTCCCTGGAGGGAGTGTTTGCCTTCAAGTAAGCCTGGTGCCTCCTCCTCCTCTTCTCCCTTCCTGTCCTCCATGCAGTGAACTGCCTCTTCCCCCTCCCCCCATGCCGTGCCTGCCGGCCTCACCCCAAGCCCAGAACCAACAGCGCGGAGGAGGATGAGGGATGCAACTCCTGCAACCGGGAGCCAAAATAAACAATTCCTCCCGGTCAATAGCTTCACTCGGACACTCTGTCCCAGTGCAAAGTCTGACAGCCATGGAGGGAAAGCACAGAGTGACCTGCCAGTCCCTGGGCTCCTGCTGAGCTGAAAGGGAGGGAGCCCATGCCGGCTCCCTGGGCTTGGAGGAAGGCCCAAGGTCACTGCCCACCACTCTGCTGGGCCACCTATTCTTTAAAAGCAACGGAGGAATAGTAACAGGTATGGTGGTGCTTTGAGCCTGCGCAGTTCTAAGGCCGCCCGGGTACCGCTACCATCACATCTTTAGAGAGGAGAAGAGCAGACTCAGGACTGGAATAGTCCCTGGTCCGTGTGCATAAAGCCAGGGACCACTCAGAGGCCAGAGGAGTATGAGAGAGAACTAAGACTCGGGGGAAGGAGATGTGGAGGAAGGAAAAGTCCCAGAACCCCAGTAACAGACAGACAGACAGTCTCCTGGTGCTGTGGGCAGGGAGGGGGAGGTCAGGTTCAGGGCCCTGACTGCAGCTCCTCCCCTCCCCCCCCCCTGCAAACATGGTCTCCACCCACTGGTCCTCTACCTCCCCCACACAGACTATCCCTCCTGCGTCCCAGCTCATCTGAGTATGCACACCTGTTGTTGGGGGTCCCCTGTCTCTGTTGGGGAGACCCTCCCATCCCCATGCTTGTCAACAGCACAAGCAGAACCATTTTACACACAGCGGCACAGAGAGGTAAAGGCATTTGACACAGCGTCTTGTCACAGAGCAGGGATTTGAACTTGTGCACTCCACCCTCTTTTCCAGCCCTCTCCTGTGCCCTGGGCTATCCAGCAGCCTTTGCTCATTTCTGCACATGCTATGTCTGCCACCTGGAAGCTTTGCCCTCAGATCTCAGCTCCAAGGGCTCCTGTTCCCCATGCCTCCTCGCCTAGCCAGCCTGGCTGCACAGGGCAACCTCTAGCCCAGGCTCACAGCTTTGCCTTCATATCCTTCTTTCTCCAGCATATCCAGGGAGGAGGGATGACGGCTTTGTTTTAGTGAGCATCTACTTTGCCAGCACAAACTGGTAATCCCAGTCCCCACAGACAGACAAGTGCCCGGCTGACGGCCAGGCCTGGTCCCTGTGCGTCTGTCTGGTCCTCAGTGGTCTCCTGGGCCTCTGGGCCTCCACTTCCTTCTTTCCCAGGCCCGGGACCCTGGGATGTGCTCCCCCCACCCCCCTTGTCCTGGCCCAGCCCAGCCCTAGCCCGGGTCGGAGGCGCCAGAGGAGAGTGGGGCAGGGATCTGGGGCTGCGCCACTGCGCTCCAGGGACTTACCCATGGTGAGGGGCCGCGGGGACGAACTTCCTAGCCGGCCCGGGCCTCCCTCTGCCTGCACTGCCACGTCGCCCAGCTGGAGGCGGGACGCAGGGAACCGGGACCGCCCCGCCCCCCACCTCCGCTGCCACTGCTGCTGCTGCTGCTGCTGCTGCTGCTGCTGCTGCTGCTGCTGGCTGCACTCAGGTCCTCGGCCCTGGGGGTGGGGGGGGGCCCGGCTCCCCTCCCACCGCACCCCAGCTTTTCCTGCAAGCTGGGGCTCCCAGTATGCTGCACACACACATGCACACATGTGCACACTCACCCTAAGCTCGCCTTGGGGTGGGCAGAGTTTCTGGTTCTTGAGAGCTTACCTCCCAGCTACAGAAGAGGAAGCCAGGAGGAAAAAAACTCCTCCTATCTTCACACCAGCGACTCAGGAGGCTGAGATCTGGAGGATCACAGTTTGAAATCAGCCTGGACAAAAAAAAAAAAACAAAAAACCAAACAGTGAGACTCTGTCTCCAATTAACTAGCAAAGAAAAAAAAAAACAAGCTAGACTGATTGTGTGGCTCAAGTGGTACAGCACAAGAAAGCCAGGTGAGCAAGCTGAGCCATCTTCCCCCTCCAAACAAAACAAACCTAGCTAATGGTAAAGGCTGACGTGGAGCCCACGGCCCTCGGGCCAGGAGCAGGTGGAGGGGCTGTGTCATGACTTCGGCTTCAATCGCTGTAGTTGAGTCTTGAGGATGCTGTCGCCATCTATCCAGATTACAGAATCCCTGTTCCCTGGTCACTCTCAATGGAGCAAGGGAATGTTCTAGCTGGACTGTGTCAGAGGTCACTTTGAAAACGGCTCCCAGGAACTGGAGCCTCTAGTTTTCATGCCCAGGGTCAGCCCCTCCTCGTGCATGGATGGGAGATAGGGACTCCCTTCTTCACACAGCCCGAGTGGCAGGTGCTGTAGTCAAGACTGGGTTATAGACCCTGGTGGCTCAGGCCTCGCTCAGGGGCTACTGGTCTCCTACCCATTGTCCATCCGCTCAGCTCACGCCACCGCCCACTTGTGAGCTGTGGGCTCCACACAGATAGAATTTATTGAGTGATTAAGCCAACACGTGCAGGCACTAGCCCTTACATCAACAGCCTGTGAGGAACTAAACCTGCTCCGCCTGACTCACAAGTTGTCCCAGCTGAGGGGAATCGGAGCCTGGGCAGACACTAAGCTCTTGCTCAAGACTAAATTCTGCTAAGTCTCCAATCCCAGACTTGTGAGGTATCTGAGTGTGTGTTGCTTGAAGCCATTAAAGCACTGGGAGGTAACTGGTTATACCGCAATTACTAGCCCATACAGATTCTGTCTCTGTTATCTTGATTAAAAAAAAAAGGGGGGGGTGGGTGGAGGGATGGTGCCAGGTGCTAGTGGCTCACACCTGTAATCCTAGCTGCTCAGGAAGCTGAGATCTGAGGATTGTGGTCGAAAGCTAGATCAGGCAGGAAAGTCTGTGAGACTCTTTTTTTTTTTTTTTATTGTAAAGCTACTATACAGAGGGTTACAGTTACATGAGTGAGGTTATGAGTACACTTCCTCTTGAACATTGTTACCCCCTCCATTGTTTTCCCCCTACCATCCCCTCCCTCCCTCCCTTCTGTGAGACTCTTTTTAAAAAAATTTTTTTTTTTTTTTGCCTGTTCTGGGGCTTGAACTCAAGGCCTGGGTGCTGAGCTAGAGCTGCTTCTGCTCAAGGCTAGTGCTCTACCACTTCAGCCACAGTGCTATTTCTGGACTTTTCTAAGTAGTTTATTAGAGATAAGAATCTCACAGATTTTCTGGTCCCAGCCGGTTTCGAACTGCAATCCTCAGATCTCAGCTTTCTGAATAGCTACAATTACAGAAGTGAGCCACCGGCACCCAGCTTCTGTGTGACTCTTATCTCCAATTAACTACCAAAAAGCTGAAAGTGGAGCTGTGGCTCAAGTCGTAGAGGGCTAGCCTTGAGCTAAAGAGCTTGGGGATAGTGACCAGACTGAGTTCAAGCCCCATGACTGATGCACACGAATGCGCATGGATGCATGGATGTATGGATGCATGCACACATGCATGCGCTTGCGTGTGCGTGTGTACATGCACACACACGCACCCACACACAGATGGTAAGTAGGCATGGTGCTCACATCTGTTATTCTAGCTACTTGGGAGATGGAAACTCAGGAGTCTCAAGGTTCAAGACCAGTTAGAGCAAAACATTTGTGAGACACCTCCTCCAATTGCCAAAGAAAAATCTGAGCCTGCTGGTGTACATCTGCCATCCCAGCTAGGTAGGGATCAAGTGGCCAAGCACCTGCCTAAGAAGCACAAAGCCCTGATCAATCACTGCCAACAAAGGAGACAGGGAGACAAATGGCCTCAGAGAAGGCAGTAGGGACTGGATCTGGTCGGCTGTGTCTTTCTCCACAAGGGGCCTTTGTGCCTTCCCGAGCTCCTGTTTGGCAGGCACGCCCACATTCATGGTCTCTGAAGCTATGTACATTATTTACATTTGTTGGATCTTTTCCCACTAAAGCGTTCTGGGTAAACACAAGTCCCTTTCTTTTCTTCTGAATCCCCGGTGTTCTGGCTCTGGAGACACATCCAGCACAGAGTTGCTCAACAATAATTGTTGAAGGAAGGTTCCCTGGCTCTTACTGGCCCCGACAGCCAGCTTCTAAGAGGCCCCCAAAGTCTGCTCTTAAAATGAATGTACATCAGGTGAGCCAGATGGAAGGGTGCTGGCCTTCCTCGGGTTCTGGGGCAGGGGGTAAGCACAGCTAACTGTGCCGACGGCTCAATGCTGCTGACCATGTTGGTTTTCTTCTGAGCTGTCCTGGAGACTTACTGCAAACACCTTATAAAATTGTTTGGTGGATTTTTTTTCCCCCAGGAGTTTGGGCCTTTGAATAGCAGCTGATGTCCCTTCCCCTCTGTCCAGTGGGAATCAGGAATGAGGATCTGTTGTCCTCTAGCGGACAGTCCAGTCTGACTGGATTGTCCTCCTGAAACTTAACAAACACTCCAGGTGCAAGGACCCCTGTCACTGGAGCCATGACTCCTGCTCCCGGGAGACCTTGCCCCAGTCACAATGGCTCTAGACATCCCTAAGGGTGGAATAGGGGAGCACCCCCTCAATAACTCAGAGAGAAGCCAGTGATTGGTACAATGTGGGACTTGAAATTGGTCTCTATGTAGGGTCTGTGATTGGTGGAACTAGGAGCTGTCCTGTGATTGGTGAAAATACAATCCTTCATTTGCATGCCCCCTCCCCCGGCACTCTAGTGAAGTAAGGAGGCTGAGTCTAAGTGACTTTCTTACAGCCATCCCTGTTCCACTTGCTGGGTGGAGGGAATTCTCCATTTTAGTGCTAAAAAGCTTAGAGGTGAGAGAGGCCATTCATGGAATGCAGATGTGCAGCTCAAGGTGAGCTAGGAGGGTTCTGCTTCAGAGAAATGCCTTGGGAAAGCTTTGCATTTTGAGAATGGTCTGATCCTGCCTTGATTAACTCCTTAAATGGCTTGAATCACCAGCCTCTAAGTAGCCTCTAAGAATATCCTATATGAGGTGTTATCTTCCCTAGATGGAAAGTTAAATGCCATCATAAAATAGCTACAGAGCAAATGAGCATCACTAGGAGAAGTCCCACAAACCCTCAGCGGCATGGAATGGTCGTTCCTTTCTTCCCAGTGTCTGTGGCACACTGGTACTGGTCGGCAATTGACTGACTCTCCTTTATCTGTAAATTGGCTCTGGCCCAGCTATTGGAAGCTGCATTTCAGAGGTCCATGCTCAATTATCATGAGAGATGAGCTGCTTTAGGACAGAGCATCAGAGAAGAGAGTGGAGTCAAGGTGCAGCCAGATACAGATTCGGATGAGGAGACTTGAGCCCCGGGGTGGGGGTGGGGTGGGGGGGGTCCAGCCATGCCTAACACAAACCAACTCCTGTGTGTGTTTAAGCAGTGGAAAGTTATACCTACTAGGCGGCGCCTTTGCGCAGGCCCAGGTCCTGGCTCTTCCCTTCAGGGCACACTGGCAGACCGTTCTGGGCCTCTTTCTGGTTCAGGGAGCAGCCCTCAACCGTGGCTGCTGGGAAGGGAAGAGGGATTTCAGCACTCAGCTCCCTGCCCCTGGGGGTGTCCATCAGGGCCAAATGCAGCCGGCCCACATGGAAACCAGTTCTCTCTGGCTGCCTGCGTCCCTACCCCACCACTCCCTGGAAATTGCTGGGGATGACTGACCAACCGATGCCCTACTTAGACCTGAATGTGCTTTCTATGGTCCTGGGGTCACCTTCTACCTGTTTACCACTTCCTCCTCCTCTCCTCCTGCTGGTACTGGGTCTTGAACTTAGGGCCTCTCACTCCTGTTTGGCTTTTTTGCTCATGGCTGGTGCTCTATGCCTTGAGCCACACTTCCACTCCTAGCTTTTTCCTGGTTACATGGAGAAAACGCTCATGGACTTTTTTGCCCAGGCTGGCTTTGAATCCAGCCCTACTGACAACTACCTTTCCTGTAAGCAGGTAAACAAAGCTGTCAACTCCCCTCCTGCTCTTTTTGGCAAGTTAAAAAAAAAGCTCCCCTCCCCCACTCCCAGCTGGCCGGTCACTAGGGGGAGGTAGGCATTAATTGAAGTCATCTGTGATAATGCTAGATTTGAAGGGACCTGGGAGCTTGTAAACATTGTGTTTCCTCTCCTTCGAGAAGGCAGGCCAGACTTCCCCGAAGAAGTGCCCGTTGAGCTGAGAATTGAAGGTACTCACATGGGTAGGGTGCTGGTGGCTCACGCCTGTCATCCTAGCTACTCAGGAGGCTGAGATCTGAGGATCCCAGTTCAAAGCCAGCCCAGGCGAGAAAGTCTATGAGTCTCTTATCTCCAATGAACCACCAGAAAACCGGAAGTGGCACTGTGGCTCAAAGTGGTAGAGTACTGGCCTTGAGCTGAAGAGCTGAGGGACAGCACCCAGGCCCAGAGTTCAAGCCCCATAACTGACAAAAAAAAAAGTTCCCACATGGTTCTAGACGACAGAGAAAGAGAGAGAGAGAGAGGGAGAGAGAGGAGCATTTCTGGCAGAGGAAAACATAGGTGCAAAGGCCCTGTGGCAAGAAGGGCCACAGGAATTTGAGAGGAGATGGAAATGTCTGAAGAGCAGAGAAAGGGGAGTCTGGTGGGAGAAGGGTCTGAAAGAGAGGTACGGGGTCCCCGCAGGCCACCAGGGGCTGAATGAAAGGCTCCGTCATTATCTAGACCACAGTGATGGTGGTGCCACGAGGGGCTAGTGAATGTCACATAGGAGACTTCTAAAGCAGTGTTTTGGGTAGATCTGGTAATCATGGTGATGGCTCTGTGGACACACACAATAACAATGAAGCCCCAAGAAGCTGGGTGCTATAAATAGAATGGGCCCAGGCAAGGGTGGAGTTGGCAGAGCTGGAAAGCATGCTCAGCCAACGGGGGCAGATGCTTGCAAAGGACCGCCCCCCTCCCCCCCCCCCCATGCCACCAGGCGGAGGGCACTGGTGTCATAGCAACTCTTGGACCAAAGCGTCTTTCTGCAGCACTCCCATTGGAGCCTCAGGGAGGGGCGGGGAGCAGTGAACGTGGAAGAGAGAGAGATGCCATTCCTATTTTAAATGTGATTTTTGGCTGGACTAGATGATGAATTCAGGGTCTAGATGGGTGCTCAACCACTTGAGCCATGACCTCAGCCCTTTTTACTGCAGCCGTGGTCTAGATAGAGTCTCCCACTTTTGCTTGTGGTCAGCCTTTGATTGCTACCCTCCATGTTTATCTCCCACACTGCTGGGATGGTAAGCATGCTCTACCACACCTGGCTTGCTTGCGGAGCTTGGGGTGTTGCTAACTATCCACCCCCCTCCCTGGGCTGGTTTTGAATCATGATTCACCTGACCTCTGCCTCCTGGGTAGCTGATATTACAGGCAGGCATCATTCTGCCCAGCCTCTTCTTATTCAATTCAATAAGCAAGCAGAACCATAAATCCCCATTCTGACGGTGCAGAAGCTAGGATTCAGAGAAATGAAACTGGCTACTCTGTCCCACTGGGCACCTGCGCTGGACACTTGCACTGGGTACCTGTGGCTGCCTTGCCTCCCGGGAGCTTGTCCAGATCCCTTCCTCCTGGATTGCGAACGCTTCTCCATGCACTGAGGCTGGCTGTGCCAGGCCTTCCCTGTCCAGCTTCCTCTGTCACCAAGGCAAAGCCACAGGGGCAGCTGTGGCCAGTGCTTGCAGGGCTGGTCTGATGAGAAGAGAAGGGGCTCCTGGCAGGAGGCTCAGCTTCTCTTCTCCCACAGACACTTCCTGTGATGTGGGGACTTTGGTAGACATGTTGGGATCATAAGGTGACCAGAGGAAGGACCACAGCAATATAATGAGGGAGGCGGGACAGAAAGATGGAAAGATCCTGTGCCCTTGGCACCATAAAGTACCCAAAGACACTTCTTAAGTTATACGATAAATTGTTCCTGTCAATTAAGCTCATTAGTTGAGAAATCTGTTATTTGCAGCTGAATACACCAACGTTGTGACAGACTACTAATTTGATGCTCTTCCCCCCAAATCTTTCCTCTTCTACATCTTGTAAAGATCTAGATGAACTCATGGCTGACAAAGACTATTTCCCAGCTTCCTTTGCGTGCCACAGGTCACGTGACTAGGTTCTGGCCAACCAAATGGGAGCAGAAGTGCTTATCCTAAGGGGCTATTGTCCAGTTTTCACCATCTTTCTTGCCTAGAGGAGAGAAAAAGAAGTGAAATAGACTCACAGAAGGAAGCCATAGCTCTGGACAAACTTTACTGGTTGTTTCACAAGACAGAAACACACAGCCATCATTTAAGCTGCTAACATTGAATAACTATGTTACAGTTGCCTATCTTGCTCCCTATTACAACAACCAAAACAGAAACAAGCAACTATTGCTATCCATCAGATGATAGAAATAAAAAGGTAGGTCAAAATTAAAAAAAGCTTCTTTTGGTTTTGGCAGATTAGATCTTTAGTGCTCAAGGTTTATGGGCTGGACTTACAGACTTAGATGTATGGCTCAGGATGGAGGCTTATTGCTCTGGGCTTTGATGGCCAATAACTTAATTATGCTCCGCAGCTAGTGTGATCCTCAACTCTTGGCAGGAGCAGTGAGTGTGACTGGTCAGTGCCAGCTAGAGTACAACACCTAAGCTTTGGATGTTGGGACTCTTACTCTACTGTTGGAGCTATTGAGCCTTGGCAACACTTTGGACCACCAGCAACTATAGTTCTACCATCCTTCATGCAAATGAGGCAATCATTACAGCCAATCATCACAGCCCTCATGCAAATGAAAGACTCATGTTTGAGCCAGTCTTGGTACTTTCATTCAAATGAGGGACCCAACATTTTCACCAATCACAGCAGGCCCTCATGCAAATGAATTTACACATTATGGCACTGCCCTTTATGCAAATGAGGCACCATACTTGCACCAATCATCACAAACTTTATGCAAGTGAAGGACTTGTGTTTGCACCAGTCATGGCACTGTCCTTCATGTAAATGAGGGCCCACACTTGCACCAAACATCACAGTCCTCATGCAAATGAAGGACTGTTTTAGCACCAATCACAGGCCTTTTTCTTCCCCACCAGGGAAAGTGCTCCCCTTCTGGCCTGGATAGAAATGGCTGCAGGTGTTTGATGACAAAAAGACTGGCCCAGTTTGAACCAGTCCTGGCTGGGACGGTGTCTTCTGGGACAGGAGCCAGAGTTGTGCTTCACCAGGAGGCAACGGTGGTGGCTGTGCAGCAGCCTTGAGGTGTGTGTGGAATGGTCAAAGCAGCGGCGCTGGCCTGGGGTGGTCTGGCTAGCTGCCAAACAGGGGTTGCTGAGGTGACAGTTTTTTGTTCTGGGCAACCAGGCATAAGAAAAAGGCTTGCTGGAGGTTCTGCTTTTGGCCATTTTAATCTTTCACACACACACAAAAAAACTATTAAAAGCATGTTCACAATGAAGATTATGAAAGCTCAACGTAGACTTAATCATTTTAATAACATCTAAGTTTTTAACAGTACTTATGTTTCAGTGTTTAATTTCTGCCCCACTGCCTCAGAATGATGAGTCCCTTTCAGTGTTTCACTTTTGCTCTCATTTATGTTGGGGAAAAAAACCCCTCACAATTATATGTGTGTATGCTCAATATAAAACAAAAAGCTGCATATGAACTTTATGTAATGGTCAGTGGTACTGTAGGCTTGTCTGTACTGTAGGGACATGGGGCAGACTTTGCTATGTGGTTGGGTACAAAATTCTGTACCCATTGTTAACAATTGTTATGAAGTGGACCCTGAGATGGGGCCCAAGCTGGTATGATTCCATCTTGAGCTTTGCCTTTGTTTTAGGGATTTTAGACTTGATGGGCCTAGTTCCCAGAATGAAAAAAATGCATCTGGTCCCCCTCCCCTTAACAACCTAACTCACTCTTGATCGCTGAGTTAAAGACTGACCCATAAAACAGGTTGTAATCTGGCTCCAACTGGTGACAGCAAGTGCTTATGGTAAACCCTGCCTTTTGCACATGCTTATGGTAAACTCCGCCTATTGGCCACCTGAGTGTGGTCTGGTATGGTATGACTGTACGATCCTTTGTGTGTGTTATAATCCCATTGGTCACCTGCGTGTGACCAGGCTCAACCTCATGGACTTTGCCTTTAAAAACCAAGGAATGAGGGCCGCTCGGGGTGGCAGTATCAGCTCAAGTATCAGCTCCCGAGCCTGTGCTGCGGCCCTGGAACCTTCTCAATAAAGTAGCTTCTTTGTTAACTTCTTTGTTAATAGCTCTGTCACGCAGGAGGACTATGTGGGCTTGCCCCCCTGAGTAGGGGTCTTGCTACTACAGTTAAAGCCCTGTATTAGCTCTGCAGCTTACAGAAAGCCGGTAGCAATTCCCAATTCAGTTCTGGTTTGTCTCTAGAAAACAGTTCCTTGATTTCTCTTCTTTACCCATACAACTTCCCATCCCACCACCCAGAGTCTCGATTTTCTTATTTATTTATGCCAGTCTTGGGGTTTGAACTCAGGGTCTGGGCTGTGTCCCTGAGCTCAAACTTAGTGCTCTATCATTTGGGCCACAGCTCCACTTCTGGCTTTTTTGTGATTAATTAGAGGTAACAATCTCACGGCTATTTCTGCCTGGGCTGTCTTTGAACCGGGATCCTCAGAACTCAGCCTTCTGAGCAGCTAGGATTACAGGCCTGAGCCACCGGCGGCCGGCTCAATTTTCTTTTCTGTAAGAAAAGGTTCCGCCCTTTTCCTTCTCATTTCTGAGCAGTCAATCAGCAATTATGATCTTGGTACCCAAGGCTACGGAGGCGAAATGGCTGGCTGTGCTAGGTAGGCCCCTCTCCGGAGAGAGCTGGGGGGCCGAGGGGCGGGGTCCACCGAAGGGATTCCAGGGCCCAGGCAGAGGACCACGAAGAATTTCTCGTAAAGTCGGGAGATGGACCCCAAAGCCATCGGGGAGCGTCACCGAGGGTTCCGAGAGAACCGAGCATCGCCGAGGGCTTACGGAGCCGCACGGAGCACCGAGGCGCCAAGGGCGGCAACGAGGAGCGAGCGCCCCCCAGAGGCGGAACCACTCGTCCCGGGCGCAAGTTTCCGGGGGGAACGGAAAGTATTGGGTAGCGTGAGAGATCTGCGGACTTCCGGGACGGGCGGAAGCCGGCGTCGCCGTGGTTCCGTCATGGCCGAGGCGGCTGAGGAGCCCTCGCTGGAGGCCACGGCGCTGGCGGCGGCCCGGGAGCGGAGCAGCCGCTTCCTGAGCCGCCTGGAGCTGGTGAAGCAGGGCGCCGAGGCTCGCGTGTTCCGCGGCCGCTTCCAGGGCCGCGCGGCCGTGGTGAAGCACCGCTTCCCCAAGGGCTACCGGCACCCGGCGCTGGAGGCGCGGCTCGGCCGGCGGAGGACGGTGCAGGAGGCCCGCGCGCTGCTGCGCTGCCGCCGCGCGGGTGAGGAGGCCGGGCGGGTGGGGAGGCCGGGCGGGTGGGGAGGCCGGGCGCGTGGGGAGGCCGGGCGCGTGGGGAGGCCGGGCGCGTGGGGAGGCCGGGCGCGTGGGGAGGCCGGGCGGGTGGGGAGGCCGGGCGCGTGGGGAGGCCGGGCGGGTGGGGAGGCCGGGCGGGTGGGGAGGCCGGGCGCGTGGGGAGGCCGGGCGCGTGGGGAGGCCGGGCGCGTGGGGAGGCCGGGCGGGTGGGGAGGCCGGGCGCGTGGGGAGGCCGGGCGCGTGGGGAGGCCGGGCGGGTGGGGAGGCCGGGCGGGTGGGGAGGCCGGGCGCGTGGGGAGGCCGGGCGGGTGGGGAGGCCGGGCGCGTGGGGAGGCCGGGCGCGTGGGGAGGCCGGGCGCGTGGGGAGGCCGGGCGGGTGGGGAGGCCGGGCGCGTGGGGAGGCCGGGCGGGTGGGGAGGCCAGGCGGCCGGGCGGGTGGGGAGGCCGGGCGCGTGGGGAGGCCGGGCGGCCGGGCGCGTGGGGAGGCCGGGCGCGCGGGTGGGCGCAGGGGAGAGCAGGCCCGGCCGGCGCGGCCCCGCGCCGCCTCGCAGGGACGGCCACCCACCCTCTCGCTGCTCCCGGTTCCTGCGCCCCGAACGACATCGCCTGGTCCCGTGCGGGGCCTGTCTGCTCGACGTCCCCGCGCTGCCTCTTGTCGCCCCACGTCGAATATGTCAGTTCGCTTCTCAGCCTCAGTGTCCCTATTCGTGTCACGTTCCATCTTCCCATCCCCCGTCTCATTCGTCTTAAGGAGCACATGTTACTGCTGTAGTACTAGCCACGGGAGGCGGGGGCGTGTGCGTTCGAGTGCTTGTCTCCGTTGTTCTTAATAATGTAGGCTTTGAACACGCGATTTATAACCGTCCCCCGTCCCCGTCCCCCCCCCCCCTCAGTTTCTTCCTCAGTAACGAGAAGTTGAAATATGAGCATCTCTGTCGTAGGTGGACCTGGCATCGAGCACTCAGTAAATGTCAGATTTTGTTGAATCAATTACTTTTTTTTTTTTTTGCATTAAAATTTCATTGGCTAGACACTGTGCTGTAGGCTCATGCCTGAAATCCCAGCTACTCAGGAGGCTGAGATCTGAGGATCACAGCTTAGATAGGAAAGTTCTTGAGACTCTGCGATTGAGCATCAAAAAAAAAGCTAGAAGTGGAGGTGGAGCTCAAGTGATGGAGTCTGATCTTGAGCAAAAAAGCTAAGTGCCCAGGCCCTAAGTTCAAGGCCTAATACCACCACTAGATAAAAATAAAAGCAAAACACCACCAAAACCACCATTGTACACCTCCAACAGCCTTGTTCCCAGATAAGAAACTGAGGTTTGGTGAGGAGAAATAACTTGCCCAAGCTTCTAAAGGCCTGTCCCAGTGACTCAGAAGTATAGACTTTCCCTTACATTTCTTGCCGGGTTTTTAATGCACTTACTGTATGCCAGGACAGTGTGAAGTGCTAGAAGATCTGGGGTGAGTTCAGTGGTAAACAAGCAGGGACACTGCTACCCTGGCAGGGATTCAGTGAAGGTCTAATGGAGTTCTTTGTGTGTTCATATGGTTTTCCTTCCACTATGAAAAAAAATCACTTAAACATGGAGAGTGGCTTGTGTACTGCCCTGTTCCCATTCACGTTTCTGTCTCCAGTTTCTAGCAAGTGTCCCATGCATGGTTGACAGTAGAGGCATTGACTTAGTGGAGTGTTGCTCTCACATTATCATAGCAGAAATGGAGGCCTGGAGATGTTAAGGGAATGCTCAGGAAAGGGATATAGGATTTGAACCTGTCATTTTCTGATATGAAGCAGAATCTCTACCACACACCCCACTTAGCCTCCTGTTTGGGACCTTGTCAGGGGGAGGCTGTCCTTCAGGGCTTAAGCACAGGAAACTTGCAGAGCAGTTGTGCTGTTTTCCTAGATCTTCTGAAATAATTAGATGTACACGGAAAAGCTGACAGACAGTCTTTGAAAATTAGGCCTACTTGTAAGAAGAAGGAGTTGAAGTCACTAACTGCTCATGTGTTGCTTGCAGGGATATCTGCCCCCATTGTCTTTTTTGTGGACTATGCTTCTAATTGCTTATATATGGAGGAGATCGAAGGTTCAGTGACTGTTCGAGATTATATTCAATCCACTATAGAGACTGAAAAAGCTCCCCAAAGCCTGTTTGCCCTAGCCAGGAAAATTGGGCAGGTTTTGGCTCGAATGCACGACGAAGACCTCATCCATGGTGATCTCACCACCTCCAACATGCTCCTGAAGCCGCCCCTGGAAAAGCTGGACCTGGTGCTCATTGACTTTGGGCTGAGTTTCGTCTCAGGCCTTCCCGAGGATAAGGGAGTAGACCTCTATGTCCTCGAGAAAGCCTTCCTCAGCACCCACCCCAACACCGAGCCTGTGTTCCAGGCCTTTCTGAAGAGCTACTCTACCTCATCCAAAAAGTCCAGACCTGTCCTGAAGAAATTAGATGAAGTGCGCCTGAGAGGAAGAAAGAGGTCCATGGTGGGGTAGAGGATTATGTGCGACCTCATCCACCACCTGGCTCTTCAGTCAGTGAGGAAACACTGTGGAGAGACGAATGTGAATAAAGGTGTCGGGACATCTGATGTGCTTTGTGATCATGCTGCTAAGTGTCCTTGTCATCAGCAGGTACCCTGACAACCTAGAATGGCTTTCTTTTTCTCACATTGTCACTTGAGCCACATAGTGAGACAAAGACAATCTGAATTGAGGACAGTTTGTTTTCATCAGCAGAGAGTATATTTGGTAAATCTGGTTTAATTTATTTTTATTTATTTTTTTGTTGGTCATGAGGCTTGAACTCTGGGCCTGGGCACTGTTCCTCAGCTCTTTAGCTCAAGGCTAACGCTCTACCACTTGAGCCACAGCACCACTTCCACCTTTTTCTGTTTATGGGGTGCTGAAGAATTGAACCCCGGGCTTCATGCATGCGAGGCAAGCACTCTACCACTGAGCCACCTTCCCAGCCCTGGTAAAGGCTGGTTTAAAAAACAGATGTAAAGTATTAGTAGCTGACTTTAAACCTTGCCGGCAGCTCCTCACCCTCAAGGAGGTGTGTGGCTGAGACCCTTTCCTCCCCAAGGTGAGGATAAATACATATAGGCCAGCAGCGATTCCTTCCATACCTCAAGGTCTCTTGCAGGGCTGGGGAGGCTGTGTGGTTCCACCTGCCTCAGCCCGCAGTTGGCACAGTGAAAACTCAGCTGCTTCCTGTGAAGCCTCCAGGTGAGAGTCATGGTGGAAACGGTACCGAACGGTTGTGTCACCAGCCTCCATCGGTGTCAGCAGTATTCACACCCAAGGTTCTAGTAAATACTGAGTGGTTACCATGTCCTCTGCATGCATGCATGAACCCAACTAGTGGAGGAAACTGCTGAAGGACAGAAATTGTCCTGCCCAGAGTCACTGTGTGGCAGAGCCAGGAAGTGTGGTGTGACACTGAGACACGTCCAACAGTAAAAAGGACACTGACCAGTATTTCCTGGAATATGAGAGTGCTCTTGTGGCCTGTCCAAGGGGCCAAGAGAAATGGTACTTTTAAGGCCTGGAGCAGTGGGTATGTTGTGAGCTGGCCTGCCTACACATACACAGGATTGGGGTGGGGAGGGTCAGGTGAAGGCATGTGGAGTATAATGATATAACCAGAAAAGTAACCCTAACCCTGATTCTTGTTTCTATAGAACTAGTTAACAAAAACAGCAAGTAGGCTGAAGGTTGTGACGTGCTCCCTTAGATCCACTTCTTAGGCCAGTGCCCCTGCAGGACAGCTGATTGCCAGGCCTGGTAGGGAAGGAAGCCTCTGTTTCCTGACCAGCCTTATGGGAGCTAGGAGTCTTTTCCTTTCTGTGGCTCTCTTGCCACCAGAGGTCGCAAGTTACTGCCATTCCCTACAGACAGTAGAGGTTAAAGAGAGCTTCCTTCTATCCTTTCCCTCTTTCCTCTTCTGTCTACTCTTCCTCCTATCTTCTTCCCTCCTCTACTTCCCCACTCCCTGTTTCCCCTCCTTTCCTCCCTTGAATTTGCTCATTTATTCTCACCCCAACACTTTAGCTGACAATGGGAGAGTTGGGTAGCTATGAGTAACATCAGCCCTCAGGCCTCCTTTCCTTGCCTTCCTATACAGATAAGTACACATCTTTAAATCTGGAAGGCCCAAACTGTTCACAGCACCTGCTGCCTCTCCATCAAGTGAGACCCATGGGTTGGGTCTGTGTGTTTAAGTCTGGATTAGGGCAGTGACTGACAGCTTGACTCCAGACTTCCAGCTCAAGGCCTGAGCAGTCTTCAGCTCCCTCTGTGCGTGGAGAGAAGGCCAAGTTTCCCAGCCTTCAGTTTCCATCTGTAAAGTGAAGCTTTTTTTTTTTTGGTTGGTTGTGGGCCTTGAACTCGGGCCTAGGCACTGTCCCTGAGCTCTTTTGCTCAAGTCTAGCGTTCTACCACTTTGAGCCACAGTGCCACTTCCATTTCCAGTTTTCTGGTGGTTAATTGGAAGTAAGAGTCTCACAGACTTTATTTCTGGGGTTGGCTTTAAACCACAATCAGATCTCAGTCTCCTGAGTAGCTAGAATCACAGGTGTGAGCCACAGGTACTGGGTCAGAAGTGACGCTTTTGATGTGGTTGCTGCTCCTGAAGGTATATCAGAACAACTTGGTCCCTGCGTCCCACCTTAGGGAAGGATGGGTTGGCCTTGAACCAGGGTGCTCCTGCTCCTGTGATTCCATCTCCAACTCCAGCCCTGCCAACCTGGCAGAAGTCAGAAGAGTGCCCACCCTGGGGAGATGCAGGTTCAGTTTCTTGAGCTCAGTGCTGGCTATGTGGGCGGATTGGTTTGTAAAACTTCATCCCGCTGAGTGCACACTTGCTTGAACTTCGCTTTTCTGTATTTATGGTTCTATACAAAGCTTGTAAACGCATGAATAGTTATTTCATGTGTGCCTGGCCTGTCACAGCCGCTTTCTCACCGAGCTCCCCTCTTGTGCCCTCCCTTCCCACAGCAGCCTGGAGAATCCTGGTGCCTGTCTTTCCTCAACTCAGGGCTCTCCAGTGGTCCCCACCTCCCTCAGAGCTGCTGAAGCACCTGGGCCACCCAGCACTCATCCTTCTCACCCTTCTGCATCCTCCTTGGCCTCTCCCTGCGATCAGCCCCCTTGGCTCCTTGTCTTCTTCCAACACACCATCTCAGTCAGGGCCTTGTATTTGCTGTTTCTTTTTCCTGGAACACCATTCCACAGCCTGCACAGGCCCACCTCCCTTGTTTCCTTCAGCACTCCCAGGTGCATGTTGTCTGAAAAATCCCCGACATCCCTCAGCCCACCTGCTCCGAGCTTGCTGGCTGTGTCCCCCTCCAGAACATGGGCCCTGGGCAGGGAGCTTGGTAGCTCCACTGATCTAGCCTGTTTCCACAGTGGTGCCTGCAATGTAGGAGGCCACGCCTGCACCTCCTGCTTGTCGGAGATCGGGGGTCCCTCCTGCTATTCCAAACATGCTCATGCACGTGCGCATACACACGTACAGCAACACACTCCAACCACCCATCCCCCCCCCAATACGCTTCTGCACGTGCACATACAACACGCACATCAACACACTCTACCTACCCACCCACCCACAGTCTTCCAGGCTGGAGGCAAGGCAGAGAGTGATAGCCTGGCCTGTGGTTCGGAACAAAAAACAGTGAGAACCCTGGGGGTCTGATGACGATCAAAGCCTTCTCATGTTTGTGAACCGTCCCCTTCTGCCCAGGGTACAGGTGGGCAAGGGACTGCCCAGAACCCAGAGTTGTCACAGCTCCAGGTCTTTCCCTTAGCAAGGCCAAGCTGCTTAGCCCTGCCCTCTAGGGAACCCAGGGGGATGACTTGTGCCTCCCCCCTTCCCCCTGCCACCTCCCCTGAGGCTCTCCGCTGGGACCCGCCTCAAAGCCAATATTGCTCTTGGATGATCAGAGGCCCCAGTGAGGTATCCCGCTGAAAGATGCTGACAGCGGCATCTTTTGGAGATTCCCTCCTGGGGTGGGAGGGAACCAGGAGCCCCTTCTGAGAGAGAACTGGAAGCTGTGCAGTTGCTGCAGTTACTGTCCCTGTGCTGCCCTCCCGGCTTCTCATCATGGCCTAGAGCGTAAATTTACAGGATCTACCTATATCCTGCTCATGGTAGTGACAGGAAAGCTATGAGAGGGCTTTGCCTGGCCTGGTCTCCACCATCTCCAGCCACAGAACGAGGCCTGGTGTTCAGCAGCAGCTTAGTCCTCCCTGGTGAACAACTGCATGATTGCAGTGATGTTTGTGGTAACTGAGTGCAACCTAAGGCCAGCTTGGCCCCTCCATACCTGTCCATCCTCGCCAGGCAGTTGTAGGCACTGGGAATGTGGCCGGGGAGAGGAGGACTCCATGAGCTCTTGGAGTTTGACCTGATAGGCAATAGTTTCAAATGGTGAGTTGTGCCTCGAGGGGAATGACAGGACAGAGTGAATGCCGTGGAGTTGAGGAAGGCTGTTCTTCCTTGGATTGGGGGCCCCTCTGAGGAAAGGCTCTCGTTTGAGTTGAGATCTGAGAGAGGAGGAAGAACAAGACACTGTGTAGGTGGGGGTTGGGAGGTTGCTGAGTGAGATCCAAGGCAGAGCAGTAAAGCAAAGAGCCTGGTGTGTTGCAGCAGCAGGAGTCAGGGCGAGAACTTCATGGTTTGCGGTTGAGGAAGGAAGCGGGCCTGGGGATGAAAAGCTAGGTGGGTCCCAACTGTCCACTTAAGTTGCCAGCCTATAGCAAGCCCTGAATAACTGACCTGATGACTGGAATGAATCCATCCAACCCAATTATTTTCCAACCTTTGATGCCATTTGATGGGACCTGGGATGGTGGTGGTGTAGGTAGCCGGCCCTGTGCTAAATGAATAAACGGTAAAAAGTACTTATAACAATGAATCGCCTTTTGTTTGTTGACCCGTCTGTTTCAAGTAATTAAAAACACAAACACAGCAGGCTCAGCATCATCACTCCCCTCTAGAAGAGCTGGGTATTTGCCCTGTGTATGGTTCTCGCCAATCTCCCAGCTGCCACCTCTGTTCTGCCTGCCTGAGCTGGCACCTTCCATTCTCAAAGTCACCCCACATCCTACTTCCCAGTTCTGTGTGGCGAACCACCTCGCACCCAGAAACAGCACATGTTGTTCTTCGCACAGTTTTCTGTGGAGTGGGCTCCGAGGGGTGGATCTGTATCATGGGTTGTAGCCAAGGCTACTCAGCTGGCTGCATTTAACTGAGGTCCCAAATGACTTCTCATCTTCCAGAGCCTTCTCTAGAGTCTTCCATCATTTCATAGCCTAGCCCAAGACTTTTATAACATGACACTGGATATGGCTAAGTTTGTTTCTTTCCATTAGAAGGGCAGCCAATAATAAGTGCTATCGGATGTGGGACAACTGGGACCTTCTCACACCATAGGTGGACCCCTTAGAAAACAGTCCAGTGATGCTGAAAGGGGTGGGCATAGAGTGACAATAGGATCCAGAACTATCGCTCCTACAGGGACCTAAAAGAAATGAGAACGTGTGCGTGTCCAAACAAAACTTGCACACGGAGGCTTAGAGCAAG